TAAAAAAAACTTGGCAAGTATAATAGATTAAAATTAATAAAATGCTTTGATGCCAAGGTGAAGAAGGGACGGCACGGGCTCTGTGTTTGTTCAGCCGCCATTTCTCCAAAAAAACTTTTGTATTCCTCGAGGCTTGCGTCTGCTCCAGAAGAATATTGCGCCGAACGAATTTTTTTTTGTCGGCTTTATCACGTCAATAAATACCGTTGATTCATCTCAATAAGAATTCAATCGCTCAGGCTCTTTCTAATATCTTGCGCAGAAGTTTTGTTTATTATTTCAAAAATAATCTTCAAGTAATTGAAGAATTCGTGCTTTTAATTTCATCTTGGGCAGCAAAAGATTCGATGACAGGAATGAACCTTTTTGGGGATACGTATCGCAGTTTGCCAGACACGGTTGTACTAATTAAAAAAGAGACCAAGTCCAAGCGCGAACTTGAAAGCAAGAATTGATCAAGGGTTACAAGCTGGTGGTTGTTGTCGTCACGGTGGCAGTGGCAGATCATCATCACCCAGGGTGGATGAACATTTGTTTAAGCGTTACGTTTGTTCGGAACACAGATCGACTGTCTAAAAGACACGGAGCAATGGCCAAGACAAACCTCAAATGCTTGCTAAGCAAACAGTTGGAAATTAGCCGCGTGGCTGCACAACGCCCAGTCGTGTAAGAGTGTACGTATGTGCCTATTGTAGCTACTTCATACATGCATATACGTACCGACGGGCCATCATCAGCGACGATGAATTTCCTCTTTAAGTATACTAGTAAATTTTAAGGGTGCTTAATGTGCATTTATTTCTATTTAGTTTTTGATGCAAGAGTATACCTTCACTCCTTATCAGGGAAAAAAATCTCCGAGAAAAAGATGTAAAAAATTGATGACTGTCGGAAAAACTTGAAATATATATTTTGTTCAAAGAATGCAACCGCATCCGTTGTGTGTCAAGAATAATGCAAATAAAATAAATTAATGTTGCAATATTTAATTCAGTTCAAATTATACACATATATTGACGCTCCTCACAAGAGTAACATGTTGTATACAATAATAATCATAGTTTTTTCAACTCAAAGCGGTTCGTTTTGATTTTTACCGTAAATTTTTTCATTTTTGCTTCTCTTGGGGTGAATACAAAAATGGGACGAATTTTCAGAAAAATCGGTTTTACTTGTTACCCATGCGAGTTTGTGCGTTTGTATGTTAATATGAAATACTCGTGTTCTGCGTCATGCCACACTTGTAAGAGCACGAGTATTAAATGAATAAGACGGATAGGCGTCGTCGTGTCAGCGTGCGCTTTGGATTCTTTCTTTTCCGGAAACACACGTTCGTTCGTAACCACTGGGGAATTTTTCTCGTATTTATCTCCCTCCCGATTACTTCTGCTCGGCTGGAAGTTAATCAAAAGTAATATACAGATGCGCAAGTGCGGCGGTGCAGCACACCGCAATATAATTACCGATTATCTCGGCTTGACTTGTTTACTAACAGCTGCATTTATCGCGGCTTAATAATTCGCGCAAAAAAGCGACTCGCACTTGTGTGCACATGGCACAACAGCTGACGTCGCATCGGGGCTTATCGCGTCGATACTCGCGCTTTATTGAAATAACTTTCTCGTGTCAATTGCAGAGCTCGAGTTAAAAAAAATCACGCAATTAACAAGTTCAAGGTTGCGCACTCGTATCCCAATTTTTGCTCGTTTTCCGCCTGTCGCGATTCAATAAACCGTGCAAAGCGCGATCCGCCTTCAAGGTGAAATTTGTATATTTGTCCAAGATTTTTGTTATCTTTTGTTACCTTGTCAATCGTTTCGCGTGACGAATTCACGCGCTCGCCAACGTAACGTGCGTGCAACATTGTGCTCTCTTTGTCAGTGCTCGCGTGCATCGCTTCGTGCTTCCGGAACGTATCGCAGCAGCAGCAAATTCCACGTGAAATACGAAAGCTAATTCAAATCGAGCGCATGGCAAATCATTCCCCCCTGTCGGCAGTCGCGGTAGCGCCAAGGCGAAAACTCACTGCGGCTTGTCAGCTCGAACGGCTACAGAGATACGTATATATTGCTCTATTGAGATTGCTACGTGAATACTATCGAAATCCGCAAGTGGGCCGCATCGGCGGCAGCAGCAGAACGTCTGATCTCGTCGTGCGCGCCGCGCAACCCTATCTGCACCAAACCAACCGCACGGCTAATCCGCTGGCTCTATTGATATGCTGATGCGTGGTACTTGTCGCGCGAAATTGCAACCAGTCGAGCAGCAGCAAGCTCGAGCTCTTCTCTGTGTGCCGTAGCTCACCCCCTGCGATAGTCCCCCCCTCCCCCTCTCCTCCCTCTCTCTCTCTATCTCTCTTCGCTCGATTATACATTGTCCCTGCGGCCGTTTTTTGTTTGACGTTCGCGCCTGCAATCCTATCGTTCCAGCGCAGCTATGCGCTTTTTTTCTCTGCGATTCTCATATATTCCCCCGCTTCTCTCAATTTTCCGCTCTGTTTTCCCAAGTCATATACGCGCGGCCTTTTCACTTTTGTGCCTAGCCTAGGCATCAACTGGATGGACCGTCATCAATGCGAAATTGCAGTTGCGATTGATACACACCTCGCTGATCCAATGCAACTTTTGCTTTTGTTCAAATTTTCCTAGAATTTACATGAAAATAGCGGTGTTTTCATTGGCTTCGTATATGCAGCTTAATTGCTCGTACATTGACGATAGTTTCAAAGATATTTTAATAAATTTTTATATCGATTGTCTTTACTTGCGATATTTATTTTTTATAAATGCAGGCTAACTATAGTATAAAACTCAAAATCTTTTTTCGAAAAACATGTTCAAACTCGAACAAGAAACAATCAAACTCTATTGTTGTTAAGCTATAAAACTTGTAACTAAAAGAGCGAATTAAACTGTGAGTGGAAAGTTTAAATATCGTGTAGCGAAGCGTGGCGTCGCGCCTCGGGCCTTTCTATACTGGAATTGAAACCCTTCTTGCTCGTCTATTTTCGCAGTTGCATTTAAATGAAAATTAGGCACGTCTTGTAGGGTATACGATCATCAATTTCTCACAAACTCATGCTTACGCTTCAGACTCATGAATATGCATACGTAGAGTGTTTCACGAACGAGATCGTAATAATTTCTCAGAGCAAAAGTTTAATTTGCTACGAAAAATAGTTACACTAATAAAATTTTAATTTTTATAACATTAGAAATATCTGCTTATGTTTAAAAACTCCAAATCTCTCTAGTTACATTACAATAAATCATGATGAGCTTAAAACTTGCATAAGTGGAAAGAAAATTTCTTTGTCATTCTGCAAATGTAATTTATTATCTGTCGAGAAAAATTGTAACAAATGAAAAGACGACTAGTGAGAAAATTTCCATACGTTTTTTACGGACATAAAAGCTTTTCGTCGTCAAGTGATGCTACGTTTTAAAACTTTGTGCAAGTTGAGGTGTCCTCGAGTGTTTATACTAGGTAGGAGTCTGAACCTTGGAAAAACAGATGGCCAATTGAATCTTCTCTCAGCCCCTTTTTCAGCCTTTGAATGGAAGTATTTCTTCAATTCGCGCACGTCTTTATTGCTTTCACCTCATGCCAATTTTTTGCATGATGCTCGATTTTTGTAAGGGTTGGGCAATTTTCCGACTTTATTTGATTTTCTCAAGCTTCGGTTTTTTCGTTCCAAACTTTTCTATTGATTATTATTGCCATTTTTTGACTGAAATAATTGATATAATTCGGAGAAATACCGCTCAACACTGTTCTTATTCCTATGTTTTTATAAGCCATTGTCTGAGAATCGTTCGAGGGTGTGAACGTAACGCTGGGTTCTCATCCAACTATAAATGAGGAACAAATATGAACGTGCATTATATTACGAGGATTCAATTCATTCGGAGAAACCAACTTTTGAATATCGATACCTAGTCGAATATTTGATTGAAAGTTATATGAAGATGTTTGTTTTATCCCATAAAAATAACAAAAAGATCACTTCAGTTTCTAATAAGAAAAGTGGTTTCTAACGTGCAATTTACTTGGAACTTCTTGTTTTTGATATTTATATTTTAAGGTGAAATTTCGTTTGTACTGAGAGTGCAATATTTTGCGGTTAATTATCCTGATTTCAAGTTTTGAAAAAATCAGCTCCTGTCATTGAATAAACACTGAATGTTTTTCACACACTCGTTGTTAATATATCATATCGTTTGCTATATCCTCTAATTTTTAAGTACTTATGAAACGTTTGTTTTAAATTTTCACATGCTTTTAATTAGCTCCTGAGATATGTTCAATATCAGCCCATAAAAAATCCAGCGGCAGTGCCATCTTATTGATAAAAGTACTTTTTTTTCTATCTGCAAGAGACATTCATTTCGAATGTAAATTTTTTGTTCAATTGTAAACATATAAATTTGTATTTTATTATTTTGTGATAATTTATTATACTCGTGGAGTGTAAATTTTAGTTTTTGGAAAAGAAGAAATCTTTTTTTAATATTGACACAGCAAGTTGCAACATAACTTTTTAAATGACTGCTTGCAATTAAAAGTGATTAAAAGATAAGCCCGACGAATATTCGGTAAGAATTATTCGATCGAATATTTGTTAATAACATCGTAGAAGATTTACTATATAGAATGTTGTCAAGGTAATTGAGTTGCTGAGTTAGGGAATTTATTCGCCTTTTGTCCTTCCGTCTCCTAGATGCACTGAACGATCATTATAAGCGTCCGGATCTAGTGCATTTGGCGTATACAGGGCTCTCGCGCGCAGGAAACGAGAAAGTTCGTTCGGAGTTTCACCCACGCAAGCGAGGGAGGCGTGTCTACTCCGATGAGTCTGTCAGCGAGTCGTAACGCCTCCTATTGGTCAACTATGGACCAATCGCGGCAGCTCCCCCCTTGATTGAGAGAACGACGCCTCTACATTTTTCGGCTGGGTCAAAGTAGATTAAAGCCTTGCTGCTCGCACTCAGCATCAGTACTCTGCCGAGCCTCGACCTAGTCAAGTCGTACGTGCTCCCAAATTTTCGTGGCTTTTCCAACGCACTTGTAATCGAACGCGCAACGCTTTCAGTGTTAGGCTAGTGAGTGGCGTGATTTTGGTGACTTGTTTCTCGATTCTGCATCATCTCTTTAGCACATATTTTCTGTGTAATCTTCAGAAATTATTAAATAAATCCGAGTGATGCTTTTATACTCAATCAATCTGTGTTTGTAATCAATGTGTGCTTGTGTTTTGACGAGGTAAAATAAATAAATAAATCCCCGACACAAACTTTGCCGAGGAATTTTGTGCGGCGATTTTCAAAAAGCGAGCGCTAAGTCATATCGCTCGAAAATGCACGCTTTGTATCAAGAACAGAACGCATTTTACAGGCACGCCTCCGCCGTACCAGTGAATCTGCAGTCGAGCTACTCTGCGGTACCGCTGTCCTCGAACTATTACGAGGCTCAGTACCGTTACTCGAACTACGCTTCGGCGTCAAACTACGCACTTCCTGGTCTCGGTTCGCAGCACTTACACCCCGGCTCCAAGGACATGGTGAAGCCACCGTTTTCCTACATTGCCCTGATCACCATGGCGATCAACGCTTCCCCCGACAAGAGGGTGACCCTCAACGGCATTTATCAGTTCATCATGGAACGCTATCCCTACTACCGAGAAAACAAGCAAGGATGGCAAAATTCCATCAGGCACAATCTCAGCCTAAACGAGTGCTTCGTCAAGATACCGAGGGACGACAAGAAGCCAGGCAAAGGAAGCTATTGGTCTCTCGATCCCGACAGCATTAACATGTTCGATAACGGCTCGTTTCTCCGTCGCAGGCGACGGTTCAAGAAGCAGGATGCCCTCAAGGAAAAGGAGGAAGCAATGAAACGTCAGAATCTGCTGGCGCAGACCAAGGCTTTGAGCATCGAGGATACCAAATCCATAAGTATTCCTTTGATGATCTCGCCAAGCAGTATGAGCGACTCGAGCATGAACGCGACCAACAACAATAAGAAGCACAGCTCGGCCGAGCAGCCACCGGCGGGTCTTTGCAAGCCCAAACACGAGCCCAATCAGGACAAGTATCTCGAGCAGTCGAGTCCGGTGCAGGACATGAAGAGCAAAAACAACGGCCAGAGCGTCATACAGAGCGCTTTGGTCCACGGAAATCATTCGAGCGCGCATAATTATCGGGTGCAACATATTCACCAAACATCGGCGATTCAGGATGTCAATATGACTGTTCTTGACCCGGTTAATCATACAGTTGATGCCATCATTAACAGCCGTGATCAGGCCCACAACATTATCATGAGCAACGCGACAGTGCAGCAGCAGCAGCAGCAACAGCAGCAACAACAACAGCAACAACAGCAACAGCAACAGCAGCAGCAGCAACAACAACAACAACAACAACAGCAGCAGCAACAGCAGCATCAGTTGCAGGCACACCACAACCAACAGCATAACTTGATCATGAACACAGCCAGCCCCAGGGACTTGGTAGCCGGCGTGACGACGACGACCGCTGCGAGCACGGCGGCCGTCGCCGCGGCCTTGATAGCTACTGCACCCGCCAACTACGGCCATTCCGTGCCGAGCAGCGGCATCGCCAGGCCCAATATATCGCCGAGCGCCATGTACCCGACCTACTGTCCGACGCCCTACGTCATGGAGCACTCGGACTACAACCCAGGCCCGAGGACTCATCATAACAGCGGCCTCGGTCATACGCAATGGTACCAAGAGGCGGCCAGCCCCGACGCCGCTGCGGCTGCTCTCTACCATGACCCCCAGACAGCCAACTGCCAGATGTACAGGTAATATTGTCTTTTCTTTTTTTCTTCTTTTTTCGTATTGCATGAAAGTATAGATAACCGGAACCGATCGTTAAATTACGCGAAAATCGCTCAATTGCGCGTGAATCCAAGGCGCCTTATCGGCTTTGTTTGCCCTGCCGAGCGCGCTTCGAAGCGCTGCTCATAACGCTCGCGTTGATAATGACTCTCATGGTAGCGTCTCGCGAAAGCCGTCATAAAAACAATTGCCTTCCTTACTTCCGCCTGTCGCGCGTCGCTAATCTAAAAAGCGCCTAATGGCACTTTCTCTACTTTTTCTTAAGTACATCACGTCTTCGTGTTTCGTCGGATCATTCTTCGATATAAATATTATCCTCGTTTTAACGTGCATTATGTCTCGCTAATTGTTTGTTTTCTCGATTAATCAGAGATGTTTCCACTTTTATCGCTTTGTTTTTTCAATTATTTTCCGACCTTCGGCGCTTTTTTCCATTTCTCTGGCAGGTATCACGCCGGTCTACAGAGCGTCGGCATATCGACGAAAAATCAATTTCAGCAATTTGCTTTTTTCCATCTAGATAAAAGTTTTCAATTATAACCAACCAATATTGACCATCGTGCGCGTTCCCATTTATGTTTTTACCACTTGACATTAAGCAAATTTTTACACCTGCAGTCAATACTCGCAGTGACTGATGAGTAAATGCGAATTAATTTTTTATGCTCGATGATTATCAGGTGCAATGAATGTTTTTCGCGTAACTTTCGCGAAATTTGTTGAATATTTTACGAGCCCGGATAATACTCCGATAAATCTCTGAAAAAATGTCACATAACGAATTTTATATGCATGATTACAGAACAAGTCCAACGAATCCCACACCTGTGACTTCTGCGCCGTCGACGTCGCCTCTCTATCAGCGTTTCTATCCGGAATGCCATGGACCGAATAACCGATACTGAGAGTATCGAAATTCAAGATCTCACCATCATCATCGAGATCTTGAATTGTCTCAGCACCAGACCCAAGAACAAATTGCGCCTCATACCTACGACTCCAGTGGCCTCGTGTATGTTAAACAGGAGTGGATACCTCCGAACGAAGAGGAGTGGAATTAGATTTCCTCATGAATTAGCGGAATGAGATAAAATTAGATGAAATTCGGATGAAAAATCAAATGACAAGCGTGCGCCATTCTCTGTACTGCTTGTAATTTGTGCCGTGCTCTATATAAGGGGAAAATATTCGGACTTGCGTCAAAGGACAAAGAGAAACGAGCGAAAATATTCCTTCTTCTGATTAAGCGCCCAAAATTTTTTCTCGTTTGTATCAGTGTATGCGACATGCACACGCGCCAACTGTGCAAACTCAAAAGTTGTGTTTGCCGAATCGTCATCGTATTCTGTAGAGGTCGATTAAAAGTTAAACAGTTACGTGCGTCGCGGTTACTTTCTTGCATTCGGCAATAATAGCGCATTTACTTCGCAGTACACAAAAATCGAAGATATCGTATAGCTATATAATATAAATACGCGATTGAGCGCAGCTGGCTCAACGTATTGCATTTTCTTGTACAAAGTTGTAAAATATGAATATGTATAGACGCATCCCTAAAAATTTGTGATATTCGCGATAATTGTAACAAAGTCATCAGAATCCCCTATGCATATAACGTTTACCAATTAAGAAGATTTATCTAGTATGGCAAAAGTTAGTATTTATGAAAATACTTAGAAAATAATAAGGCCAGCCTCTTGAATTTTAATAAAATTATTGTAAATATTTCTCAGGTAGGAGTAATCATTAACCAAATTGATTGAAATTTAATACTAATAGATTGATAACTTCAATAATAAATTTGGTAAACAAACTACCTTGCATATAATACCTATATATTATAAATATGTATATATGTACAAACCTATTAAAAGTATATGTACCTTTTCTTTAAAAAGATAAAGATTTTCTGCATTGCACGATCATTAGTATATGATGAAAAGTGAAGCCCAGGCCGGTAAAGACTCGAAATGAGAATTTTGCCCATACCGTCAACCGAAAACCTCATTTTCATAATTGAAAATGTTCCTAATTGGTAACAGTTCTGGAAGAATTCAAACATACGTTTTGATTAGTATCAAGACTTTTTATTACGACTCTACCTAGACTTCATTTTCTATCATATAACAATGATCTTAGTTGCCATGTGCAGTAAATATTAGGCAATAAGGAACACCCTACTGTACACATATTACATGCATATACGTACGAATACACTTATATGTATGAGTGAAGAGCACCTTATGTAGCAATAAAATTGTAATATATACTTTATAATCAAAAATTATAAGTGTACGGTGCGAATGAATTTATGTAACTTGAAAATCTCGGAGCATTTATAAATATTTAAATGTACGATTTGTGAGAGAGAGAACTGAAATTTAATTTATTATTTATTTGTTGATGAGTACTGATTCTACAGTTCTTGTGACGCTAAAAGATGTCGATAAGTGGCATTTTTACAATTTTTGACAAAACGCATATTTTGCTAAATTTTTATTCAATTTTTATGAAATATTTTGTCACAAAATCGTTCAACTTATCGTGATAAAATATCTTTCCATTCAGCTTGATGTACACCGACGATAAAAACAAGTTTTTGCCAATATCTCTTTTCAACCTCTTGTTAAAAATGTGTTCCATTATTATTTTTCATAAAAAAAACGCGAGCTTCAGCTAGAAAGTAGGTAGATCTCTGTAATTGTTGTGAGTGTTACTACATATAAAAATCAAAAGCTGTAGGTAATCAAAGAATTATACTATTACATAGAAAATTTATGCATAGATTGAAAATATATGTGTACGTGCGACGCTATTATAAATATACAATGATCTATTGTTTTGTGCGCCGATCGAGCCTGAGTAGATAATCATAAACGCTGTGTTATACGCGAAATTGTCTAACTGTTGTCAACTCATGCATATGTTTATAGCTCACACTACTGTAATAATAATATAATAATATAATTACTCTTTAGGGGATAGATATAATTAATTATAGTATAGACTAGCGAAACGAAAATACGTCAAAATAAATAAAAGTATCGATCACAACTTGTGCGTTCTTAATCAAATTTTCCCTCAACTTTTTCAAAGCTAAAAACATGTAACCCTATCATGTCGAGTAATGCCACAAGTCTGCGTGAATCTGGATTTTCTATATATGTTGCGTATTTATGGGGGAAGAGAAAGAGAGACTCAAAGGGTGCGTACCATATATATCTTCCTATACATATATATTTATATATGTGTGTATCATCGGAACTAAAAGTCTTACGCCCGATCGTAGCCAATTGTATGATCTAGTAATCCATTTGGTGTTCGAGTCTCTCGATTTTATCGCGTCAGACGGTATGGTGTTATGTTCGTACCGCTCGTTCAAATCGGACTCGTCACATAATTGTTCTCTGTGCTGATAATGCACAACAGAGCAGGATCCACTGGTAAGCCTTTCAATGTACACCTACACAAAACGTATGTACACACACATAGGCAGCAAATCGTATCGAATCCGGAATGTATATGCGCATATACATATGCACGCTTAGATATAAGCACAAGTGCAGGGGTTCATCATCTCAATATCAAAGAACAATTGGTACGCCATAAGCCTTTCTGCTTGATCCGCAACACGTGCTCCGAGCAGATGGATCCTCTTGATAACGCGGTATATATCGTTACACGCAAACTAAATCTTTAGTTTTCAAGTTTCTGTTTCAGAACTCGATAACGCACATTTTCACATCTAAATTTTTATTTTTCATTTTTACTCATGCTGATTTTTTGATAAATCCACCATCTTAATTAAAACTATTTTAAATGGTTTCACAATTTTGACTTGGAAAAATTTCATTCATATATTTTTATAACTACGTTATTGATCAAATAATTCAATTTTACAGATATTACGTTACAAATATAAGCTTGTGTCAACAAATGTGTCACCCTGCTAATACTCTCCTAAAAGCATTTTTTCAATCCTATAATTCACCTATTGACAAATCCATCTGTAAGTACTTTTTACTCTACTATTTACAGAACATTAAAACGATAAACTCCATTCATAGATATATATATATACTTTTTTTATAAACACATAATTATAGTTTGGCAAAAATATTTATATTTATTAGATTTATAAGGAGAAATTTAATGAAATCAATTAATACATCAACAAGGTAAGTGAAAATTGAAATTAAATTAAATGTTTGGCATTTCATTCGCTAAGGTCTGTGGTTTAAAAGACATTCGAACGAGCATATATAGACCAAAGTCGACGCGACGGCCGTCGGCCTAGCAGTTCATCGCATGTGCTTACAATACGAGAAGAGTCAGATCGTACTGTATACGTACCGCCAACATTCACGCGGTCGTTCGCATGTGTATGTGCAGACTCTCTCCGACTCCGTTTCATGCAAGCAGTTCGATTGCGTACTTGCCGCAGCCCAGAAGAGAAGGATATTAGTGGTTATCTATAATGATGCGCAAATGAAATTCGCGCGCAGGGCTGCAGCTGCTTTATTTTGGTTTCGCGAATAGCTAGGCGTGCTGTCGATTTTCGTTAATTGCCTAAACATTTCGTACGGCTCTTTGACTTGCGTTGCCAAGTCTGACGATTGTGATGTTGACCACACAATTACACAGAGCTGTGGTTCTTAGCTTGTTTTTGGTTTACTATTAGCCGAGTTTCCAATTGGAAAAAGCTGCAGTTTTTTCCACATTTTTAGCGAATATTTTACATGTTGAAATATAAAATTTTTTTATTAAAATATCAGACATTTAGTAAACATTATAATGGGCGTTTTACACGCGTTAATATTTCTTCCTCGTATTGATCCATTATTACTTGTAAATTGAACATTTGACTTACTGTTATATTTTTTATTATACTACATTATGTACATTATACAACCGTTCTTACCATTTTACTATAGCTTTCTTGCAAGGGTGACATTCAAATAAAGTTAAAAAACCATTGTTTTTTTAAGCTGGTTTGATATCGAATAATGAAATGCTGGAATCCCTGTGTTGGAAACGCCAAGTAACAACGCCTCCAAAATCAGAATTTAATTGAGACATATATTTTAGATACAAGGAAAAAGACCCTGATGATTTTGATGCTTCGTAATGTTTTCTGCAGATATTGTCAAAATTTGGTGTGCATAAGTGTAGGTAGCATATACGTCGAATTTTTTTTTTTAAATTTACTCGCAGTCACGCTTTTGACAATACGACGATAAGGGCAGCAAATTTGATTTGACATCTCGGATGTTTATTTAGTGTCGGTATAGCAGCACATCGTTCGTCCGATCGTTCGGAAATGCGAAACGCGTGGAAGTTATTTCATCGCCAACATTGCATAGAATTTGCAAAAATTTTCGTATAGACGCAGGGTCGGTTGATAATTGATTCCTTTCAAATTTTTGAGTTACAATGAATTTAATATCATGTTGCTCCGCTATATTTGCCGAAGAACGCCAAACTTATGTAACCGAACATTATTTTACCTCGCATAGTTCATTCAAACCCGCGTACATATGCAGGGGTACATTAAACTACACTAAAAAACTTCAGCCGATGAATGGCTGAAGTAGAATTTCGTAGTCCCAATAAAAATAGAGATGGTTTTGGCTCTTCATCATAATACCATGTGTTACATTACGAGCGAAAATGCTATAGTGTGTATAAATTCGATAAGCAATGTTTCTGCACAGCACAGCGCTTACGAGCTTATACGAGGAAGTATCTTGAACTCTTCTCGTCAGACACTACAGGCCACCCGCAACGTTTACACGCCAAAGCGTCGGCAGCCGCGGCAACGGCAGTAGCAGCAACGCAAAAAATCGTATACTCTCACTTGTGTTTGAAACGCGCTCGCGAAAGCAAGAAAAAAAAAGAAAAAGAACGATGACGAGGTCAAGCCATTAGCGAGCGAGACTCTGGCTTCCGAATGTTTACCAAATTACACATGATAATGTAAGCATTTTTTCACGCTTTGGCCACGTTGTGTTTATGTCGCGAACACATAACTGCGGTAGCTAAATTTAGGGTGTCCAACCCTGTGCGCGACGTGCTCCAGTCTGCATGCCCTCAGGGACATGCAGGCCGTGTGCGTTTGCACGTTGCGTATACAATATACGTGTATTAACGAGGATGGACTCGGCTTAGCTGGCACATTGTTCCTGGAATCGTTTCGTGCTTAATTTACTTAAAAAGGTTTTACAGTTTTCAGTAAGAATTGCAGTATCTTTTTTTATCGATTGAATAGCTATCAAAGTGTACATCAAATAATGAATTCTCGTTCGGTTTTGCATCTCATTTCGAGATACTCACATCACTCACTAACTTCCACATCACCAACCAACTTTTTGAAATATTAAGACTTTTATAACAACTGATGCTAAGTCTTATTAGATCACTTGTGTTTTTTATTGACATTCCAAAATCTTAAAAAAAATATCAAAGTAAATCTTAGATGCTGATACATTGGAACACGTTGGGGAAGGATGAAATCTTTGAGGCATGACAACAAGTGAGCACCCTCAGTGCATGCGTATAGCTTGCGGGGGCGTGCGTCGGTTTTGATCACATGTTTCATTAAACATCGATGAATTTATGTAAAATTTAAAAAAATTGTATACTTTTCCAATTTTTTATATGTTTTAATTTATTTTAACTTGCTTAGGAATTATTATCCATTTTTAAGACAATCATTTATTTAGATATAGTTTATTTCCAAATCTTCAATATTCTTTTTAAAATGAAAGTACATAAGTAATGTAACGACGATTAAAAAAAACCTCTACCGAACAAAAAATTAATTTAAATACTAAGGGTAAAAATATATAGTATAGGTGAAATCGTAGTGTAGCTGCGAAAAATCATTAAAAACAGTTAAACTACATATTGAATCGCAATATGACCTCTGATCTATAGAAGAGTTTGTATGGTAAAGAATGAGATAAAAATATCTTCGTCACGAATAAATTGATTGTTTCATACGTAGAAAAAATGTCATCAGATATATTTACTTACTCTAAATCATTGTTTGCTGAAGAATTTGTCGTATCATTGATACAGACTATACTCGTGCACCTCACTCATACAGGAGTATCAAAGAATCCCGAAAACACTTTCTTACCGGGTATAACGTTGTGACAAGTGAAAAATGTCACACTCGTCGATTTTTCTCAATGATGAGTTCCAATATCTACAGCTCGCGTGGCTGTTGATTGCTCCTCTTTTTGTCCAAGTGATGCGCTGGGTATCTACAAAACACATTGGTAGGACGCGTAAAGCCTTTTTTCAATGCCAATGGGTACCTATAGAAGAGTCCACTCATACACACACACATTGTGTATGTAGCAATAAAACGATGCTCTCGGGTCATCGCGCGCTCAGAAAGGGCCTCGGGTCTACTTGGCGAGTGTTCGGCCGCGCGCAATCGCACCGATTCTCCCGCAGCTTCATTTGTACCTATCCTAGGGCACCATGCACAACAAGCGTAACGCATTACGCTGCCAGCGGGTACGCAACAATGGATAACTGCATTGTTTCCGCGTCACGCACTGTGCACCGTTTGAGCGCAAAGTATACCTTAAGCTTGCCTAGTGGTCTAATTCTATCCCAGATCGATTCTATAAGATATCGTATAAAGTAGTGCACAATTCTTGCGTTTTTCTTTGAAATTGTTCTTTGTTACCTCAAAGAATTAGGCGATTTTTCATTTTGATATTTTTACGGAGATATTGCCTTTCGATTTCAACTTGACAGAGCTAAACTTATTCCTGAAAACATTGTTATTTTCTTCAAGAAAATAAATGCCCCTTTGGAAAGCCTGCGACGAATTTGACCTTTCTAATAAAATATTTTACCCATTTTTTATTGTAATCACTTATCGAAGATTGAAATTAGAATGAATTCACAATTTTAATTTATCGTTCAAGTCTTAAACAATTTTTCAGGATTTACGAACTATTTTATTGGCATCCATTATTCGAATTGAATGATTATGGTA